GTAGAATAGAATTCAGGAATAGAATAGAATAGAATAGAATAGAATAGAATAGAATAGAGAAAGAAAGAATAGAATAGAACAGAAAATAGAATAGAAAAGAAAAGAACAGAAAATAGAATAGAATAGAACAGAAAATAGAATAGAATAGAACAGAAAATAGAATAGAGAATAGAATAGAATAGAATAGAATAGAATAGAATAGAATAGAATTGGCCAAGTGTGATTGGACACACAAGGAATTTGTCTTCGGTGCATAAGTTCTCAGGGTACATTAAAAAATACATTCATCAAGAATCATAAGATACAACACTTAGTGATAGTCATAGGATACTAAATAAGCATAGGATACTAAATTAAACAATATAATAGTAAAGATCCAAGCAACAAGGCTGTAGTCATAAGTGGGAGGAGATAGGTAACAGGAAGGATGAGAAGAATAATAGTAATACAGTCTTAGTAAATAGTTTGACAGTCTTGTGAGAATTATTTCTTTAGCAGAGTGATGGCATTCGGGGGGAAAACTGTCCTTGTGTCTAGTAGTTGTTCTGGTGTGCAGTGCTCTATAGCGTCGTTTGGAGGGTAGAAGCTGAAACAGTTTGTGTCCAGGATGTTAAGGGTCTGAGATAAATAAATAATAAAGCCTGTCTCTGGATCTGTAGAAAGGTCTATCCAATCGATGGCTGGGTTAGGCTTATCTTTATTCTTTTGTTTTGTTAAGAACTCACGGTACCAGACGTATCAAAGAATGTGGAATTACATGTATTCCAAGCAGCCAAGCGTCTTTGTTAAAAGCACAGAAGAAGGCATCGCCCGGGTGCTCAACTCCAACTATGCTTTCCTGCTGGAGTCCACCATGAACGAGTATTACCGCCAGCGCAATTGCAACCTCACCCAGGTCGGGGGCCTTCTGGACACCAAGGGCTACGGGATTGGCATGCCAGTCGGTAGGCAGCGAAGTGAAATTCTAGCTATTCTGAGCTGTCTGCAGAGGTTCAGGGCATTAATAGATCCTAGGGATTCATGAAGGGATGCGGTGGCTCAGTGGCTAAGATGCTGAGCTTGTCAATCAGAAAGGTCGGCAGTTCGGCGGTTCGAATCCCTAGCGCCGCGTAACGGAGTGAGCTCCCGTTACTTGTCCCAGTGGCTTCTACCAACCTAGCAGTTTGAAAGCACATAAAAAAAAAAGGCAAGTAGAAAAACAGGGACCACTTTGGTGGGAAGGGAACAGTGTTCCATGCGCCTTCGAAGGCGTTTAGTCATGCCGGCCACATGACCATGGAGACATCTTTGGACAGCGCTGGCTCTTCGGCTTTGTAACGGAGATGAGCACCGCCCCCTAAAGCCAGAAATGACTAGCAGGGATGTGCAAGGGGAACCTTTACTTTTGCAGATTCATAAAACATCAGAAGCCCTTCCATGCAGGGACCTCAGCCCTAAAAAAAACCTTGGTCAGGTTATTCCTAAGCCGCATTGAATTGTCTGATGGTTTTGCTTGCTGAACAAATCTCTTTGAACCTCTAAGATAAAAAATAACCCATATGTCTTGTGGGGGTTGGGAGGGAAAAGGAATCCCTTTCCTTAATGGGAAACTGAACCTTCCTTAGTCTTATATGCGCAGATATTATTGTAGGAAGAGGGAAAAATAGGAACACATTCATAGCAATATAATTACTACTATGGCAATACATTTTCCATAATAAAAAACACATCTAAGTTTCAGCAATGAGCAAATTGAGACTTTCAGGCAACGTAGGAAATACCTTCGTTCTTCTGGAATGCTCTACGGCTTCAGAGAGTACATCAAGAGAGTTTTAGAACATTGTAACTTTAAAGACTCAGTCAAGAATAGATTTTAAAAGATTTGATTCTACCTGACGTCCAAGATTTCCTGCGATGTTTCACAAAAGGAAACAGACTTAAATGGAAAACGGAAATCCTCCCAAGGCAGAACGAGTAGAAGAGTGGATTATTCTTTTAGTTTCTGATTTGCCCCCTTGGCTTTACAGGTTCTCTTTTCCGTGATGAGTTTGACTTGGCCATTCTCCAGCTGCAGGAGACCAACCGCCTGGAAATCCTGAAGCGAAAGTGGTGGGAGGGCGGACAGTGTCCTAAAGAGGAGGACCATCGAGCCAAGGGTAAATAATGAGCGCCTTCTCTGAAATGTATTCGAACATAAGTAGCTTGAGTTGGTAGTTGGACCATTGGGCTGAGCTCCGAGCTGGGCAATTTGATTTCAAATGGTTCGTCACCATTCGAGGAGACGTTGTCAGTGTGCACATTCCCTCTCTCTTTTTTTTTTTCTTCCTTTTTTTTTTTTTTTTTTGGTGGTGGGGGAGACTGAATTTTGGACAAAGGGAAAAAAAATCTAGCCCTTAGAAGCAAACAAACCATAAGGCCCTTAGACTCTAGGTTTGCATAGTATTCATTTATGCTGGTTTTGGGCGGGGGGAAACGAGCATGGAGCAAAAGCAAACAGGATAACAGTCTGTATCTTTCATCCAGCCAAGAATTTGTGTTCTGTATGTTGGGACAGCTCATAAAGAAAAATAGATGTTTGGAAACCATCTTTGCTTCAAACCTATGTTTTATCATAAAGATGAAAGAACTGGGAAGTCGGCAGGAGAGGGGGAAGGCACCTTAAAAGCAATTTTGAAAGGAAATTGGTTCTTTCCATCAGTACCTTATAATCTCTCCCTCCCTCCTCCCTCTGTGTGTGTAAACCTCCAATTTCCCCTCTCTCTGTGTGTGTGTGTCTTTACACTGATTTGATTTTTATTCAAATATATGTTATTTCCTAATGAAAGTTCAGTACTGCTTTTAAAATTCTTACTCTCGGTGGAAATTCCAGGCCAATTCTGCAGAGACAAGATTATGTTACCGAAGCACTTTTAACTGCCTTGCCGGTCAGCCTCAGACATCCAGAGACCAGGGAGAGCGCTAATTGCTTTATCTTGACATCTGAAACACATAACTAAACTTCAAAGAATAAAAAAAATAAAATAAACCGATAAATTATGAAATAGACTCCTGTGAGAGAGAAGAGGGGGAGGAGGGGAGGAGAAGGGGAGCACATAGGGGACCCTTCAATAAGGAGAACGAGCTCTGACAGATCTCAACCTGAGCTACAAATATTCTCCTTCATTATGCAATGTATATATATATCATCCAGGTCATTTATTCCTAAGTCATCTACCCAACATATAGTGCTAGAATGCCAAAATAGAAGCCGTAATAGAGACTTTGCTGATTTCCTGGTTGTGACAAATGAAGCAAAAATAAAATAAAATACGTTTATAATATTTTAGATTTTATATTTCAAAGATGTTGAGATTCTAGAAAGAATGCAGAGAAGAGCCACAAAGAGGATTAGGGGACTGGAGGCTAAAACATATGAAGAACGGTTGCTGGAACTGGATATGTCCAGTTGGATGAAAAGAAGGACCAGGGGAGACAGGATAGCAGCCTTCCAATATTTGAGGGGATGCCACAAAGAAGATGGAGTCAAGCTATTTTCCAAAGCACCTGAAGGCAGGACAAGAAGCAATGGATGGAAACTCATCAAGGAGAGAAGCAACTTAGAACTAAGGAGAGATTTCCTGAAAATGAGAACAATTAATCAGTGGAACAACTCACCTCCAGAAGTTGTGAATGCTCCAACACTGGAAGTTTTTAAGAAGAGATTGGATAACCATTTGTCTGAAATGCTAGAGGGTTTCCTGCCTATGCAGTGGGTTGGACTAGGGTCCCTTCCCACTCTGTTATTCTAACAAGAGATCTTGGGGCAATTGTCACTTTAGTGTACAAGTGGTGTGATATGATCCCCACCACCACCAGACCTGGAATGGAGAAATTCTAGCAGGAGACAAACAACTTTAAGAGTTGCTGTTACCCCATGGGAGAATTAGAAATTACGTCCTTTGCTTTGAAGTGCAAACATTGTTAAAATAGCATTGTTTAGGGTGAAAATGGAAAGGCAGGCAGCCTTATCGATTTTGGGGGTGATATTTCCACTATCCACTTGGAGGCAACTGGTGGGAGATTGTTCTGACGCAAACCTTGTTCCAAGGAAACAAACACGAAACAGAGGTGACAGCAAAATCTTTTAATGATTCTTTATGAATTCCGTTCCTTCACAGTTAAAAGGCTGTTTCAAACTAATTGTCTCTGATAAGAACAAGCCTTGCCAAGGTTGTGCAAGGCTGCCAAGAACACTAGATAAAGTTGCCAAGAAATATTTCAAACACAAAGAATGTCCAAACACCAACCAAGATATTCTGAACGTCCACAAGGCTTAAATGCAAAGATTTCTTTGCTTCCTGCAAAGAACTCCGGTTTCTCAGCTAGCTTTTATCTCTTAAGGGAGAGGCCATTACCTTGCAGCCTTACTCCCGAGTCGTCCATGCTGCTGCAGCTGCTCTTTCCTTCAAGCAATCCTGCGCACAGGCGCACTAGGCACAGGCTCTTTGGGGTCCTCTTCCTCACTGCTGCCAGCCTCCACAATCTCTGAAGGCAGCACTCCACTCCCTGATGGTCCTGGCCCCATCCCTGCATCACATGCAGGCCCCTCATCCGAGTCCTCACTCTCCAACACCTCAGCTGTCCACACCTGCTGCTTGGCAAACCACAACAGAGATGCTACAGAAGCTTCCAAGAGTTGTAATGACTTATTCTGTGGGTGCCAAATTCCCTTCTTGGAAGGTTCAGGCTTTTAATGGGCATCTTTGTGGAAGAATTGCTGCTTCTGCCACAGTGATTTGCTACATGGTTGGAACAAATCCTGCTTTGAACACCTGAAAGTGCATTGGGCAGACACCAAGAGATATGACCGTCAACTTTTGCAAATAAAACAACTGGACAATGATTTACGAGGAGGAGCCGATGAGGCTGTCTTCTAAAAAACCTGTGGGACTGTCAATAAATCTTTGATTCTCACATTTTGATTTAGTGCTCAGGAGGAAAGAGGCAACTTTTACAGGTGTCTGAATTGATTAAGAATTGTACTTGGCAGCTCTGATACAAGCTAACACATCATTTGTGAGTCAGTCTTCTGCTCAATCAAGTGAAGTCTATCCAAGTCCCAGTAATAAACATTCCCAGCCAAAGGTGAATTGCCTCCAGCAAGAATTATAAATACAGATATATGCTGCTTTGGTCTCAGCAAGGTTAATCTAGACTTTGGTTTTAAACCAAAGAGCTGCTAATAAAGGAGATGAGATACGAGTTGAATTTATTAGAGAAAGGAAATCATTATTTCATAGGCCAAACTCAAGAATGACTTTGAAGCCAGGCAAACATCTCTAACTCTTTGCGTGGGCTTGACCTTGGTAGTTGTAATGGCATTTCTTTATTTTACATATTGACATAGATGCCCATTTAGCAAAGGCATCCTTAGCAGAAAATTACACTGATTAACTGTAGCAAAAGTCTTTGTTGCCTAAAATCTCAAAAGTTATTTCTGACATTCATCGAGACAGGCAATGCCTATGAATCCATATATCCAGATATATGTGAAGTAACCATATGATGCCTCACTCAAAAGGGTAACAGAAATTCCAAAGTTTTGTCTTCACTCTATCATTGCTTTACTTTTTCTTTGTGTCTTCTTGTATCAAGTAGAATTTCAGTTTTCCATGCTATTAAAAAATGGTGGCATCATGTTAACATGGATCAAAATATGGTCTCTTTTGCATTATTATTCTTGCCTATTGTTTTGGTTTTGTCATTTTATTTAACCTGTTATCTTCATGTTGAGATATTTGCTGTCCTGTTTACTAAATTTTAATGTTGCCCGAGGCAAGATACTTGACTTAGTCATCTATTTGACTGCTATTAGTTTGTCTCTATTTCATTTGTTATTTGTTTAGGTATATCTGGGGAGAAATAATATTTGCCAGATGATTTAAATGTAGATATTTTATAGCTTAACCACTAGGGGATCTTTCAGAGACCAAGTAAATAAATCCATTCACTTTAAGTTTTATAGTTATTAGTCATGTAAATATTTTACAACTACTATATTTTAATTAACTTTTAATACTACTGTATAATTTAATAGAATAATTTAATATTCTATTAAATATAATAGAAATACATCTGTGAACATTTCTGTATTTCATACCGGTACTTATGCTGGATAAAGACTAGAATAAAAATGAATGAATCAGTGAATGGAATGCTTTGCATCAGTATTAAATCAACCTTGGCAAGTTTAAGATGGGTGGACTTCAATATCTAGAATTCCCCAGCCAGCCTTGCTGAGAATTCTGGGAGTTGAAGTCCACAAGTCTTAAAGTTGCCAAGGTTGGAGACCCCTGATTTAAACCATGCAGCAAACCCCAAGGAAGGACTGCTGACAAATATGCCACCATAGTTGCCGATTGAGGTCGACCTGTTGCCGTGGTGACTGTATGACATCATGGAAAGCCTGTGCCTCACTTGTCAACCAGGAAAGAGGCAGGTTGCACTGCCAATCTTTGCCAGACCCCCATCTCTTGCATTGGCTCTTCAATAGCAGTTGCCACTGTGTGCCAAGCCGGATGCCAGTTTTGAACAACTATTCTTTGTCTACTGCTGTGCCCTCTCCTTAGACAACTAATCCTGCACTCCTGGTCTATGGTAGAGACATTCATCAAGAGAATTATGTAAGTGAAGCTGTGGACAACAATGTGCCAGGGAATACAGAGATGCTGGCACCATTACCAATGTGTATAATAGTAGGGATCTTCTCGAAGCTGAAATTACCAGGATGCTAGAAGAATAGCTCTCACATTACAAGCTAAGAGCAGAATCAATCTATGGTTATGATCACAAGGATTGGCTTCATACTCCTTGTGCTAATATTGACTTAACCACTGAACAGACAGACAGAAGAGACACCGAAACATTATCTTTTATGTGCTGAACGATGACTTTAGCCCGGTGACTAAAACATACAATGGCACTCATGCTGTTACGCATCTTCTCGAAGAAAAAGAGCAGGATTTAGAATGATCTGTCCAAATTAGTCAGTGGTTGCAAAGGAGGAATAAAACTCGGTGAGAAATGAACTTCTTGAAGAACAGGTAGAATATATCAGGGGAAAGATTCATCAACTGCATTATGAGCTGATTATGAAATAGGAGCTGTTTCGGTTCTCTGCTGAAGGGAGAATGACTCAGAATCCATCTGTCTGACTCCATTGAAGAGGAATGAATCATTCTCGTCTGTCCAGAGTTATTTCCATTTTCTCTTCAAAAGAAATTGAAGAAGGATTTGAAGAGGAAAACGTTGTCCTTAGATTGGAGGACTGCCAAGCTGAAGACAAGCCATTGCTTATAGAGAGAAAGAGCAACCACTTGCAAATGATTGTGTGATGGTGCAGAGCTCAAAGATGCCAATATTCAAATGGTCAGGATTTCTGAAGAGATAGCTTTAAAAGACTGAAGAAGCAGCTCAAAAACAGGATGAAATCACCCCTCTCCCTTCTCAGGTAGCGGATCTATAAAGAAAGGCAAAATCTTGCGCAGTGGAAAATGAAGAACCTGATCCAACACGTGGGAGCTAAAGATGTCCCAAAGCAACTCATAGCTGAATGATGAGAGCTGGAAGAAATGTGCAGTGTATGAAAATGCTTAATGAGGCACAAGAACTGTAGAACCTTAAGAACAAGACAATGTCAAATGCTATATCACGCCATTGCCATTCATTAAAGCTGTTCTCCAATGAGTTCCTTAGCTGCAGAAATGAAAGGATCAACGCAGAAGGAGCTGAATCTACAGATGATAACTGATTGCTCTGGCTTAAACCGAGGCAAGAGTTTTTGACCCAATACAAAACATCCATCAGGTGATAAAGGAGAGATTCCCTAGCTCCATCTCCAGTGAGCATTCCAGGATCTAGCCAGTTTTGCACAATGAATGCAGTCATTTCTATCTGTGTCAGCACACCACGATCCAGTTTCTATGGAGGAGATATTTCAATGTTATGAAAGACAACAAGGCTAATGGTATCATCCTTGAAACTGAATCCACTGACTCTAGAAATGAGAAGAACAAGAAAAGAGGAACGCCAGGTTCTAGAGACCTGGAAGCAGTCGTTCAAAGGTTTCCCTTCAAAGGGAGAATTACCTGTCAGAAAGGAGGGGGGGTTGTTTTGTTTTTTTGAAAAATAGGAAGGAAAGTTGAGAGAATTAGGTGATAATAAAACTCTCCATCCTTTATCTGTTCTCCTTAGTGACTATGGTCTCTTCTCCATCAGCAAGAAGGAGGAAATAATGGTTCTCAACCTTGGCAACTCTTAAGATGTGTGGATTTCAATTCCCAGAATAGTTCCCTAGTTGGGCGCAGAATTCCTTACTGAAGTCAATACATTTCAGAGCTACCAAGGTTGAGAAATGCCGCTTTAGAGATAGATATCCTCGTTGTTTGTTTGAACTCTTCTGATAGTAGGAACTACCCAAGAAAGACTCCAATATATTTCTAGAGGTTTTTTTTTTTTTTAGCAGAATACTCCATTTTTATGAATTCAATTTGAATTCCTAACAGGTATTATTAACTCATCAGTACTGAAAACCGTGTGTTGTAGCATGTTATTACTGGGCGTTCAAATTACCAAGCTACTATCTGTTCTTTAGTTTAATGGGCTGGGTTATTAAGGGCAATGCTTTTATTCAAACTTTGCATGCAAGGAAAAGCTAGCTATTATCCTGTACTGCCATTACATTATGTTGTGTATTTGCATAATATTCCAAGGTTAATTTCGTGTTAATCATGGGTGGGAGACTTTCCCACAGGCTGCCACACAGTCACTCACACAAATCACTACTTGCAGATTGCAACAGCAATCTGTGGCTTCTTAGAAGTTACTCCATTGTGCTAATGCTGTTTCTGTGTGTGTGTGTTTGTGTGTGTTTTATGATAGGTCTAGGAATGGAGAATATAGGTGGAATCTTTGTGGTCCTGATATGTGGTTTAATCGTAGCAATTTTTATGGCAGTGCTGGAGTTCTTGTGGAGTCTCCGACACTCTGAACATTCTGAAGTAAGTTTTTGTTATAGGTGCATGTTCTAATATTTTGTTATGTGTGTTGCATCAAAAGATAATCTAATCTATTTATATAAAAGCGAAATACCACTCACACATCATCACAAAATCTCCAGAACTGTAAAGCCTACAAACTTGAAATTTGGCACATATGTTTTGGCTTCTAGGTGTTCACTAAGAAAGGATTTTTCCAAATGACCATCAGAGCATTAGTATTTCATATATTATTATTATTAACATGCTCTGATGCTAAGGAGTTCTACTCCCCCTCCCCACCTGAAAAGAAATCTGCTCCAAATGCAAAACACAAGCAGAGGAGTTTCAGTTTCAGTTTTAGTTTCACAGCACCAAGCAGCTTTAGTACAGAACAGTTGAGCTAAGCCACGCCCAGGCCCCTTGCTGTCTCCTTCTTGCTCACACAGCAAATACTGTTTCAGTTCCAAAAAGCCCTCAACTCTCTCACACACTGACAGGATGCTAGCCAGCTGAATACTGATGGATGCTGGTAGGCAGAGGCAGAATTTTTTCCTCTTATTTTCCTCCCCAAAATCTTGCCCAACCACATAGTTTCATAGCAAAAGCATGGGTACCCTGCGAGTGTATGTATAATAACGAAGAAAATACTAGATAACCTGGGTAATGTGTAAGTCAAATAACTGGTAGACCTGTCACGTAGGCTTTGACCTCCATGCGTCTTTTAAGCGTCTTTAAAACTCTGATCATGGGAAGTTGAGACTATTCTCCAATTTGAAATATTGTCCTCTTTCATCCTTGTTAACAATGGTATGATTGATTGATGGCCCTGGGGACATACGAAGCTGCATCAGAGCAAGAACAATATCTATTCAGGAAGCTCTGCTCTTGTTCTGAATTAATTTTTGGGTGTCCATGTCCTGGGTAATATCATCACACCACCAAAGGTGATGGGCTTTATGGGAAAGCCAATGTTACTAAGCTGAACAGCTATTTTTCAGACAAATTGAAACTAAGGTTAGTCTGGACTAGATCGTAGCGAAGGAGTATGAAGAAAAGTAGCCTTGAAAGAATTCTAAGATTTTTTTTTTCATTACACAGTCTTCTTTTTTCACCAGAATGATTGTTGGAAATTTTCTGAGTTCAACAGTAAGAACAAATGTGTCAAGATATTCAGAGGCCTACTGAACAGTCAGAATAACATGAAGTAAAATGGAGAGCAGAGTTTCTAAATATATGGAAAGCTGAGAAAAATGGAATATTATTCACAATTTATAGTTTTCCATACTATAGTATAAAACAATATACTATATATTAAAGCATAACTATAATTTTTAGTTATAATTTATTAACTGGTTTCCAATGGCTTAGTGTCCTTTTTTTTCAATTACATCATTAGGTAAAAATGCTCTTGAGTTAGGCTTGTTGTTGTTAGTTGAGGTCAAGTCCGACCCATCGCGCCCCCATGGACAAAGGCCTTCCCGTCCTCTACCATCTTCTGGAGTCCATTTAAGCTCACACCGACTGCTTCAGTGACTCCATCCAGCCCCCTCCTTCTCTGCCGTCCCCTCCTTCTTCTTTTGCCCTCCATCGTTCCCAGCATTAGGCTCTTCTCCAGGGAGTCCTTCCTTCTTTCTCATGAGGTGGCCAAAGTCTTTGAGTTTCACCTTCAGGATCTGGCCTTCTAAAGAGCAGTCAGGGTTGATCTCCTCTAGGACTGACCAGTTGGATCTCCTTGCAATCCAAGGGACTCGCAGGAGTCTTCTCCAGCACCAGAGTTCAAAGGCCTCCATTCTTTGGCGCTCAGACTTCCTTACGCTCCAACTTTCTCAGCCACACATTGCAACTGGGAAAACCATAGCCTTGACTATACACACTTTTGTTGGCAGGGTAAGGTCTCTGCTTTTTAGTATGATGTCTAGATTTGCCATAGCTTTCCTCCCCAGGAGCAAGTGTCTAGTAACTGCATCATTACAATTTTCTGGTAGCGTTATGGACATGGCTTATTGGAGTTGTTTTTGTTGTAGGAGTTCCCAATTGAACCCCAAAAAACACTGCAATTCTTAGGTGGTTCCCCACTGACACTGAAACATTGTTGTTGTTTTTTAAACACTAGTATTCTAATACTTTGTTTTTTTTGTTTTTACCCCCTCTTAGATATCAGCCTGCCAGGAAATGGCGTCGGAATTGCGTAGCATCATTCTCTGCAGGGACAGTTTTCACCCCCGTCAAAGACGAGGGGCTGTTCTTCGGACTCGCCCCATTATACAGGAAGACCGAAGAGCCCGTACGGCTATCACTACCACCCTCAGTAATGGCAAACTCTGTGGTGGTGGGGACCCTGACCAGCTGGCACAGCGACTTGCACAAGAAGCTGCCCTGGTGGCTCGAGGTTGTACTCACATCCGGGTGTGCCCTGAATGCCGGAGGTTCCAAGGACTTCGTGTCCGGCCGGGACCAGATTCCCTCGTGCAAAGCGACGAGAGTTTGGAATGGGAGAAGGTGACAAACAGCAGCGAGCCCGAATAAAGCAGGGGAGATGGCCAAAACAGAAGCTAATGTTCCATTTTACAGAACATGAGACTTGTACACACAGTTGTTGAACTATTTTTAAATTAATAAAGTGGCATCCCGGCTTCTTGAGAGCATATCAAAGCTTTAGGCTGGGAGCGAGCCCAACGGCAGCCTTGTTACTTGTCGTCTCTGAGGGTCTCTAACGTTCTTCTTTCTACGAGTACTGGGGGGAAAGCCTTCCCAGCTAAACTGGGAAAAACGCTTCCTCAGAATATTGCTCCTATGGAATTTGAGGTATGGGATGTGAAAAAAAAGGCAAAACATTACCGAGAGAAGGTCATTACACATATTACGCCAAGTTGGGGGTGGGGGGGAAATATAGCACCCTGTGGACGTTGTTAAACTGTTGAGAGATCTACTTTCTTTTAGAAAGGGAGAATAATCCATTTTAGTTTGGGTGCGTTGAGATTATATCAACCCAACTGAGCTGAGATATCCTAGCTTTGCAGCAGGTAAGTAAGAAAAGGAGGATCGTGGAGAGAGAGGGAAAACAGATGTCTTCGCTACAAGTTCATGAAAGAGAGGTCTAGTCCAGGGGTTGGCAGCCTTAAGCATTCAAAGAGCCACAAAGGTCCTAAGTGGAAGCCCCCCATTCAATCCTGGAGCCAACCGGAAGTCCGGTTCCCCCACCATAGAGTCTCCTCCTAGCACAGCATCCTTTTTCCTCTACCTGTCCTAACCGAAAACCCTATCAATTGTGGAGCCAACCAGCAAGAGGGAGCCGCAACAGAGGGATGAAAGAGCCACATGTGGCTCCAGAGCCATGGGTTGCTGACCGTTGTCTAGTCAGAGAATTACAGATAGAAAAAAGCATCCAGCAAACTAAACTCAGAGGCTTCTACAATGACTTTTTCTTTCTTCATTCTTTCTTAAAAGCTCTGCTTAATAGCTTTATAAGAAAGCAAGCCAGTCTAGCACAGGGTTAAACAGGGAACAGGAAAGGGGATTTTTGTCCTTTCTCCCCAATAGAGTGATAAATAACCATGCCAGTTGGTGAATTTCTGAAAGTCAAGTCTTAGCCCTATTTTTTTTTTAATTAAAAGATGCATCTTCACAAATTATTTTATGAACAGTAATGAGATGGTCTGGGGGGAAAAAACCCAAACTTTTGTATTATCACTTTACACCTACAGAATATCTCAGAGTTCAGTGTTACAAACTGGTTTGGAGGGAAAATCAAAAGGAATCCACCTCCGTGGAAGGTTAAATGAGGATAATGGGTCAGCAATCAGGAAATCCCTTGGTTGATGTGGGTTTTCATACATGGCTTCTATTTTCTAAAATGCAATTCTATACAAATTCTTACCGTTAAAAAATTATAGAAGGGTGGGAGAGAAATTAAGGTGACAATGAACAATTAGAAATCAGAGATGATCCTGTCACATTGTTGGGTTGTTGTTTTTTAATTAACACAATATTAAAAAAAAAAAACACCCAACAATGTGACAGGATCATATCTGATTTCTAATTGTTCATTGTCAATAAAATATGTCCTTCCATGAAGGAGCTTTCCCCTTTATATCCCTGCTTGCTATTCAGAGGAGCAGGAATTTGAATACACAAGGTCATTAGCTGCCTATAGCTGGAGTAATTTACGGCATTCTTGCTATTGACATTTCAAGTCGTTTGTCTGCCAGTCAATTAAGCTATATTATATTGTCCTTGGTCCCAATCTTAACTCCATCCAGCCTTCACTCATGGCATTCAAGAAACTGAAATTCATCTAGATCTGTATTAAAACTGTGACTCGATTGTGCTACAATACTGCTTATGTACTGTACATTATTAATCATTTCCCCTGAGAAGTGAGGGGAAAAAACAATCAGCTAAGTTCTCCTAAATAATTTATGATGTATCTAACAACTTTAATAGATACGATCGATTTTCAACTCTAGAAATAGGATCCCAAGAATTATACGTAGCAAATGCTGAAGTAATTTCTTCTGGCATATAAGCATGAAATACAGAAAAGTGTACCTTCTGTTCTTGTATTTTAATAAGGGAAATATGAAGCCTTTGACACACTGGTAAGTAATGTGGGAATGAATAGTGAGAAACTTTTAGGACAAGAATAGAGAGAGGTTTTTGTGATTGTGCAACTGTACAGTATATACAGAAGGGAAATTCTGTTTTTACCCCAGAGAGTAAGCAGCAAAATCATAATGAAAATGAGAGATCTTGATTAGTTTAATATGTGGATTTTTGTTATTCTGTTTGGTATAACTATGAATTTATTACGTTTATATCCCACCTTTCAGCTAAGGAACGCAAAGCAATTAACTACTATTCTTCTTTCCTTTATTTATGTCATCATGATAACTCCACTGAAGTAGCTAGTGGAGAAAGAAAGGATACTACTGAGCTGCATAGCCGTATTCTGACCTAACACTAGTCCAATAATTGCCACTTTAGTATTAATTTGCTACACTTGTTTATAGTTAGAAACACTTGCTATAGTCACTACATGGTTGGTGCAAATATGGATAGAATCTTAAATCGCTTTTCCCAAATATGAGATGAGTTATATTTTTTGAATAAGAAAAGCACTGTTGGATTAGATCCAATATCTGCCTCATCCAGGGCCCTGCTTTGCATAATACCCAATAAGTAGCTATAAGAAGTTCATACACAGAAAAATGAAAGCTACAGTCTTCTATCATTGTTATTCTACCCACAAATTCCATCGGTTGTTCTAGTCCAGGAATGGATAGCTGTCCCGACGATGCTTTTGGGCTACAGCTTCCAACCCTTAATTACCTCCAGGTCATGCTGGTTAGAGCTACGATTTAAATTCATTTCTCTTATGTTTGTGGCAATTGTCAATTCCTGATCATACCTTACAAATCAGCTCACATTAGACATTTGGGGCAGGCAATGAAAGCAAACAGACGTATTTGAGTAACAAGGCAGGGAGGAACGACATATGGACACTAAACCCAAAAAATCCCTTTCAGACGTTTCTCAGGTACCAGCAACACTCACTGATCAATTCTACAAACAAAGACTGCTGTCATATCCACTTGCCTGACAGACCAACATGCTTGCACAGACAGAAGGGAATAGTCATCAAAAGAGCATGGGTCTTTTAACGTTTATTTACAGATTTCCCAAAGGGAGGAAAAAGAATCTCATGAATAATTGAATCCGAGCTGCCTTTTAAAGAGTTGAACAAAGTGAAAGACTCTGCATTTTTTTTTCAAGCTCCAAAGCACTTACACATTCCGAGAATGATTATATATGTGGCCACAGTGGGACATGCCTGTTTAAACTGCATCACTGGAACTGGATTTTGCATATCCTAAGGTTTTTTTTCTTCTTCTTCTAAACATAGCAACTTTATTACAATAGTGCTTTGCACTGAGATTTTATTGACAATTTCGCTGTGACTGTTCTTCCTCTTCTATTCCCATTTGATGCTCGTCTTGAGGCTTAAAATAATAGCCATCCCATTTTGCAAGGAAGTATGGGGTAGAACTGAGATAATAACCACTAATCCTGCCATTATCTAAATGTAGATTTAGGCCCTGTGCAAGCTATTATTTCTTTAATACAAGCATGTTTTGGGGATAAGCTATCTGTAGACTTTGGTTTATGAATGCACAGCTTATAGTACTGGAGCAGCCTCGGCATTTTATTCAGATATTTATCTTTGTAAATTTATAAAGCCTTCCAACTCCACAATGATTCTAAATATGCAGTACTGTAGCACTTACAGAATTCAATGGCTGCCCTACTCTTTTCTCACATACACACTCAGTTCAGTTCAAAAATACTTCAGCAGCAATCTGATGCACAAGGACACACACCCACACACAAACACACAACCCAGAACCACTGCTTCCAAACCTTTTTGAGTCAGGTAATAACTTATTTCATAAGAGAATTGTTAGACACAGGATCGGAGCTAGGAAATAGCTGGCAGCAGTGTTCCTAGGTAAATTAACCTATATATATATATACACATTTCTATTGAGAAAATGAATTATTTCAATGGAGGCACCAGTAAATGCTGTTTTACAGTATAAACAATACACAAAGGTGATTCAAACTGTTCACAATCTGGACCTATGTTTCTGAATATGTCATTGAATTTTCCTTTATGTGTACACATTTTGCATCTAATGGTTTGTACCTCCCTTTTGTATCTGTAAATCACAAATCAGAGTTTTGAGTTTGAAATTTTCCAAGAAATTAGCGGACCAATTAATACAATGTCTTCTAGCTGAGGGCAACTTCTCCGGTGCTTGCAAGACAGGTAAGAGACAGAGGGTTGTTTTATTCTGCTCCTGGGTGTTCTGAGCACAGAGTAAAAGCAGTTTTCACTGACCTTTCTTCCTACTCACATGTAAATGAAATTCAGGCTTTTGTTAATTTTTCTCCGGGTCTATTGATAAAATGTGGTAATTCTAGAAAGATCTCTCTTTAGATCCCAGTGGGAAGAGAAGATTAGATCAATTCAAATATAATGCCTTTATCCTTTTTTAATTGTTTTACTGTACCTGCCACCCATTACAGACCTTCAGCTTCATAGCCCCAAGAGGCACCTAAGTGAGAATTGTAGACTTAGGCTAGCTAAGTCTTCCTCTGTTCCATGTTAAAATGGCCATTTTGGGCTTTTGCCAATACAGGTTATATGAGACCCCCCTATGATAAGTAAAATACTAGGAGTTCCTTCTGTAATGAATGTTGGATGAGTTTTGATTTCCAGATGAGTTAATTTACATTCAACGTTAAAGAGATTTATTTTTCCCTTGGAGTCCAGTTTGAGATTTGACTTCTGGATGCATTAATATATTGATGAAAATGATGGGTTATCTCTGATCTCGGTGGATGCAATTACTGAGATTTCAAGTTCAGTTAAATCAAAACAGAATGCTTTTGCAATTCCCAGCCTATGTGAAGAGATAAAGTTTGCATTGGTAACAAGGGAGGTGGGACCAGTCTTTTTATTTAGG